AAATATATATATAGTGATTTTGACACGTTGGAAATGATTTTGTGTCCAAAACGATTAAAAACAATTTAATTAAGTACATAGATTTGTTAACTTCCGTATAATTATTGATTGTATTTCATCACATCGTCCTACCAAGTGTATAATTATTGATTGTATTTCATCACATCGTCCTACCAAGTGTATATAATTAGTGATTGTATTTCATCACATCGTCCCACCAAGTGTATAATTAGTGATTGTATTTCATCACATCGTCCCACCAAGTGTATAATTAGTGATTGTATTTCATCACATCGTCCCACCAAGTGTATAATTAGAGATTGTATTTCATCAGATCGTCCCACCAAGTGAAGCCTAAAAACGGTCAATTTCGCCCTACCTACTTTTTATGAGATCATTTTCGTTGCAGTTGAGAATACAATAATTATTGAAATTTATATTTTAGAAGAATTCAACAGAGCATTCTAGTTAATATGTTATTCTAAACTAAGAAAATACATGCCAGTAATTATTAGTAATCATATATCCCACTCATTATTAACAATAATTCTATTCCTCAGACATTCACTTTATGTGTATATCATAAGAAAATATGTAAAAGAGAATATCATTGCTAAAGTTCAGAACAGTTATTTTTAAATATTTTGTTTTCCTGGACAGACACTAAGCTTCGCACAAAGTCCTTGTCTTCGATGCAGACAAAAGAACTGAATTCCACTTCTTTGGATTCGGCAAATGGCTCTGGTGTAGGTGGTAAAAGTAAATCCTCTGTGAACAGCGCCCCCTGTTCTCCGTCATTAAGCTCAGGATCAAGAAAAGAAATTCCTCGGCCCTGGACTGCATGTCTAGACAAAAACAAGACTCTATGGCAAGAAAAAGCAAAGAAAGGTTAACATTTCTTATCATTATTGTAAACCAATATATACTAGTTTAGTTTTTAACGCCTGTCACAGGTATTAGTAATTTTCTTTATATAAGGATGGTTTTAGTGTTACAGAAGGGAAGTCGCCAACCAAAGAAAATACCCAAGTAAATGTTAACAGCTAAACTTTCAACTTTAGCTAAGGTTGACAGTTAAATAACTAGTAATATTTTAATGTTTTTGTATTTCGTCTATTTACACATAAAACTGTTTTATAATTATTTATGATGGATATAATTTAACACGAATTTAATTTAGTTAAACAAAATTTTAGTCTAGCTCCAAGTAGTGGTCAATAATGAAAATAGTAAATGTATGATTAAACTTTCATTGCAAGCATATCGTTTTAATCGTCTATTCAGACAGCTTCTTTTGTATCCAGACTTTCCAGCGAATTCCGGTTACATCCTGTGCAACCAAATTCCTTCCAGTTTGTCAGTCATGCATCCTTTCCAGGTTTTAAACCTTATGTGCCTCAGACCGGACTATTAACGTTACACAGATTTCACTAACCGGAGTAGTAACGTTGCATACATTTCACTTACGGGATTAATAACGTTGTGCACACTTCATTGATCGGACTAGCAACGTTGCATACGTTTCACTGACAAGACTAGTATTAACGATGCATACACTTCACTGACCGAAATGGTAAAGTTACACACGTTTCACTGACACGACTACTAACGTTACATACATTTCGTTAACCGGCTTAGTAACTTTACACAGGTTTCATTGACCGCACTAGCAAAGTTGCATACGTTTCACTGATCAAATGACATTAATATATTCATATTTTTACAAGATTTTAGATTTTCCGAAATTTGTTTTCTTGTTTCTTGAGGATATTCGTAGATAGCTACTTTAGCTGCACTAGCCATCCCTAATTTTGAACTGATGGACTTGATGGATCGCAGCCACTGCCAATCCTTCGGCTACTTTGATAGAATAATGATATTCGACGTTTACTCTTATAAACCACTCACGAACTCAGAGTTCAGAGCGCGATTTTACGACAACTGGACACGAACCATGGAACCTTAGATTCACATTATGGCACATTAACCACTAAGCCACGCCCGACCCTGTTTAGGCAGATTCAATCACATAATTTTTTTCTGTTTCTCTTCGTCTCCCCAGTGGCACAGCGGTATGTCTGCGGACTTACAACGCTAGAATCCTGGTTTCGATACCCGTGGTGGGCAGAGCCCAGATAGCCCATTGTGTAGCTTTGTGCTTAATTACAAAAACAAACAAACTGTTTCTCTTCTGACTTGTTTATATTACTTAGTGTTTCATCTTTAAACAAGAGAGAATCCTCAATATCCGCGGCACTTGATATTATTTTAGGCAAGATTAGAGTAAATTAACCTGTGGGACCTTTTCTTCTTTTTATTAGTTATATTTTTGTGCACCAGAAATACCAAGCGTGGGGCGAGCGCATATCCCATTCGATTATATTACTCATCAGGATCTCTACCAGCCTACCCTAAATTGAAATTATTTTAGACAGGATTAGAGTAAATTAATGTATGAGACTTTGGGCGAGGTCAAATACATTCACCGAAAGGATTTGACCTCCTGAGTCCAAACCTGTAATTAGATCTCAAATCGGTTAAGAGATGACGGAGCTATGAGCAAAAAGTATGTACTTGAAAAACATTCTATGAGCCGCTATGCCGCGGCTGAAAAGAAAAACTTTAGCTGATAGTTAAACATAACAAGGAGAAGAAAAAATAGAGAAAAAGTTTATTCTCTGTCACTTATCTCTACACAGACTCAGGTTATAAAATAAAGTTTATTTTGTTTGCCTATCTCTTTCTTCAGACGCCGAGAGGAAAGCACTAGAAGCTGTCCAGAAATCATCCTCAGAAAATCACGAAGATGGTACAAGTCATCCTTTATCCTCCTCATCAGAGAAGCAGTGATGCAACTTACTGGACTTGTGATCGAATCGCGATAGTATTTTCTTGAAACTTCTAACATCCTTGTTCACCATTCCACTCACACCCCTGTACACAGTAAAATTTGTGAAGGAACTACGAGAATGTGTCACGTGACTCCCACTTTTTATTACGTGATGGTCACGTGACTGCCACAACTTGCGAGCGTACCCAACGTTCTTAGCAATGATTAATCTCTTAAAAAACAACTCAGACGTTATTCAAAAGATAGTATTCGTTAAGCAAGTCCCAGTGTGACAGTACCGTCTAGCTTTTTAATTGATGTTTTAAATTAAATCAGCACATTTTGCATTTCGAATAAGTGAAGTCTGATGTTTAGGTCAATTAAATCACACACACTTTTTCTCTGTTTTCGAAGCAAAGGATTGTTAGTCCGGCTGTTACAGTTTGCTGTACGTGGCAATCTCTATCTTTACCATAGTCATACTTTTATCGTTTAATCTAACTTTCCTCAGAATACAACATAATAATCGTGTTTTTTGTTGTTGTTGTTATTATCTCAGATTAAATCAAGCTCATGAACACCGAAAAAAATCTTGAAACTTAAAAATTTGAGCTTGACGTGTAAAACAAGTAAGAAGAAAAAAGTGCTTTAGTAATGTTCTTTATAGATTATAGCTTTCAAAAGTTGTTTTTATGTAAAACCATGTATAATTAAAATATTTCTGATTCAAATTAAAACTTATCATCAGATCCTCCTGTTAACCAAACTCAGTCTATATTAAAACATAAAAAACTCTCATATCAATAGATAGTACATTAAGGTTACGAAAGATTTTTTTTTCTTTTCATGAAACACTAGATACTTGGTTTACTCCCTTCAACAGTGATTCTCAAACTGTGGGGCGCGCACCCCTTGATGGCACGACTTTATTTGAAAGTGGCGTGAGAAGCGTCAGGCATACGTTTCATTTTTCATTCTGTTTTGTTTTTAACTAAAGAATTTGAGTACCTACAAAATGTTTACACTGATTACCATAGTAGTCAGTGTTGTTTTTAGTTTCTAGAAATAAATGGTTAAGATGGTGGTTTATATAGATAAAATCGATTTATTTAGTTTCATGCCCACTGTAATTTTAAGACATAATGAAAAGTAAGTTAATTCCACTAAGAACTAAAACAGAGTACTCCAGGATATAAACGAACCTGTTTCTAGTGAAAATATAAAATTCGATCAATTCTAATACCGTTAAAAGAAATTAATTATATTTGATTAAACAGCGCACTAGTATTTAATGGAAACGTGTACGATACTTAAAAGATGCTACGTAAAACATAGGAGTCTGTAAACTATACAAAACTCACAACGATTGTATTGTACAATATATTAATTTCATATTCAAATTACATTGTTAACAATAAATACTCAAATGATTTTAAGTTACTTATGTTTATGTTTATTAGTTACTTTTGTCTGTATATATATATGTATGGTTCCCTACTTCAAATGTCATGCACAGATTTAGATACCACGCTATCAAGAAGGCTAAATATTAATATTTAAAAGTTAATTATATTATCCTTCAGAGAATTCATTTAAACAGTATGTCTCATAGGATAATACTCAGTAAAAATGTAAGTTTTTCTTCTGTAAGATTGGATAGATAAAAATAAAACGTATAATAATAACTACTTTTACCCTTTTTTGTTTTGTTTTATTCTATTTGTATAAATTACTATCTCGTGCATTTGTTCCATATTTCTGCCAATAGATTTTTACCAATCGTATTACAGCTCAACTTGGATCATTTTAAACCCGACTTCTTCACCAGACAGTTGCGTAACAAGAAAAAGCCGAATGGGAAAGCTGTCTCGGGCGCAGTCCGATAGGGGTCACAGAGCTCCAATTATTTTAACAAATATTTGAGAACTAAATCTGATAATATGATTTTGGAAATTTTTCCCATATGTTTTTATTAATATATATATTATTAAAAACAGTACTGTTTATGATTGTATAAAATGTGTGAGGAGCAGTTAGTCAAACTTGCCCCGGGCACAAAAATACCTAGTTACGCCACTTGTAGCGAAAAATGACAATTCTGGTCATATCGATGGAATTTCAGAATTTTATTTAACTTGTTTTCCTTTTTTTTTACTGATCAGATTAAACTTTTCCTAAAAAAGTATCCCCCGGTGAAACAGCGGTAAGTTTATGGACTTACAACACTAAAATCCGGGTTTCGATTCTCTGCGTTGTACACAACAGATAGCGCAATGTGGCTTTGCTCTGAAACAAAGACACAGAAACCTAAAAATCTGTTATTTTTCAATGACAAAAGAAAGAAAACAATTACTCATTTGCATACCCTTTATGGAATTAAAGTAAACTCTGGTTTACAATATTTTCAAATGTGAATAAACAGTTAAGCATTGCAAATTCTAATAGGCAACATAAATAACTGATTATAAGCCTAACTTTTGAAATAGAAGAAAAATCAAGAAATGTAACTCGTGCTTGTACATACTTGTTCTTAAACATTCCAGCACTGAATGTAAAAAGTGTTTAAGGAAAATGATATAGGAAACCTTTGTTTTACATAGACTAAAAGGTGTATGTTTCCAGTTGATTCTTCTAATGCTTTTGTTAAAACGGATCTGACGTGTTTGTGTGTATCAATAACTAAAATAAATCCGTAAGCTTAGTTTTGCAAGTATTTATATAAAAAGATCAGTCATTCAATATTTGATATATATATATGTGTGTATGTGATGTATTATTAATTTTTTTTGTGAAATTACTAACTCTGAAATTGATATGAAATTAGTAACGTAAAAAAAAAGTGTTATAGATAGTTTATTCCAGAAGTCAATTAATCACTTGCATTATCATATATCATAATAAATGTAGTAAACAGAAAATATTACACGTCAAAGGATCATATCTGTATATTTCTGTATAATGGTTGTAAAATAATTATATTGTAAGTTAAGCCTAATCTACATTATGACTATTATCTCAGAATATTAATGTGAGTGTACTTAGTTTTTGCAAAGATTAATTAAGAATATTCCTCTTACTCAGATACTGCTAAGACTTACAGTATTTGCTTTACATTGTAAAGCTTTTGTTTTTCATTTCAAGTCATAAAATTGTTTCAAATTGCAAATATTTGAAGATCCACATAATTTGCCTTCTCCTTGTATCAGTCAAGCTATATATATTCATCAATGCTTAGATAATTTTGAAGAGTTTTTTTTTATTAAAAAGCTATTTCTAACAATCTTATTGTTTATACTCATTACTATAAGTTGAAATTTGTGAATTTTCTTACTTAATTTTAATAGTTTTTGCTTTATTAGTCATTCGGGATATTTATATCCACGTGCATGAATGATTATTTCCTCTTGTTGAGTCTAATGTAGATCTTTTCACCACTCTATGACTGTAAATAAAAGCATTCAATGCAGCCTATTTATGTGATGCCTTCCCTGTTTTATCACGTATGTTGGTACACAAATGTACAGATAAACTAATTTATTTAATATTAATTTTTAACTTTTTTATTTTTGCTAGTGACAAAGATGTGTTTTTAATGCTTATCAAGTCCTATATTATTCTACTCTAAACTGACGTCAAATAACTACTTACTTCATGACAACACCTGATAAGAGATTCCAGCCAGGTGTATAAAGATGTCAGGTAATGCAGCCTTTCCAAGCCATTAAACTAAGCGCTGATTCAGTACGTATATATTTAGCCCTGGAATAGAGAAATAACTTGAACATGAAATAAGGTTCTCATAGCAAAAGCTATGCCTACTGATTTTTAGTAATCCGTGCTTATAAATAAATACAAAATGAGCTATTAATATGTACAGAACCAACCAAAAACAATTAAATAAACTGGTAGTAATTAAAGAAATAAACTTTTCTTTTTTAAGTTTCATAATTAATCATTATTATTTATGTAATTATATGTTATTTTCTAGATTTATATGTCTTTATGTTTAGCCCCCAGTGGCACAGCGGTATGTCTGCGGACTTACAACACTAGAATCCGGGTTTTGATACCCGTGATGGGCAAAGCACAGATAACCCATTGTGTAGCTCTGTGCTTAATTACAAACAAGCTTTATGTTTACTGTCATTTCTTACTTCTGTTCCTATGGATGGTTTATTCTTATATTTTTCAATTTTTATATTCTTTATGATAATATATGCATTTGTTTTCTATAATGTTGGTTATATAATTGTCAGAGGCGTCGCTAGGTGCTTAAAAGATTTGAGGTCGAGCCCATAGGCGCGGACATTTTCGGCGTTTCAGTATGATATCGATCACTGTTTACTGTTCTGATTTTTCAAGATGCCAACTGAAGATTCAGGTACTGTCAAGCATAATCGGGGTACAAGCCCCGTGTTCCAGTGCCTAGCAACGCCTCTGATAATTTGAAATTAGTTTACTGTCATTTTGATGAAATGAAAATATTTTGCAAAAAAATACGACTAATTTCCAGATACATTGATGACATATTCAACCTATGTATTTATGGACTAGATAATTTTGAATTTCATAGTTTTCTCAGCACAGTTCTTCCATCTATAAAATTCACTCTTCAGCGTTCCTAACGCAGTGGTTAAATATCATTTCCAGACACTCCAATAACCCATGGAACTTTAAACACATCTTGTATCAGCCTTGTCTTTATAAACTACATGTCTCACAATCCCAACTTGTCAAACGGGGAGCAATATTTGGTGAACTCAGCCATATTGCTTCATCACTCGAGGGGACTTAAAACCCATTTCAGAAAACAATCAATAACCACTGTATTGCATTATATCAGTATTTGTGGATTTTGACAATAAACATGACATATCCAATAGGTTAATTCCTTTTACTGACGTTAAAATAACTTCTGAGCCCAAAAAAATACATTCGTAAAATCAATCTATAAATCATCACCCAACGTCTGGACAATAATTTATAATCAAATCTTGTTCTTCTCTTTCCAAAAAACATCGTTCATGTGAGAAAATAAATTGTTTGGTCGCAGACCAAGGACTATTCAAGTCATTTCTCAAATAATGTTGCTTACATAACGATTGTTTGTTTGTTTTTGAATTTCGCGCAAAAGTACACGAGGGTTATCTGCGCTAGCCATCCCTAATTTAGCAGCTAGGGAAGGCAGCTAGTCACCACCACCCACTGCAAACTCTTGTGCTACTCTTTTACCAACGAATAGTGGAATTGACCGTACATTATAACAAGGGCGAGCATGTTTGGTGTGACGGGGATTCGAACCCCCGACCCGCAGATTGCGAGTCGAGTGCCTTAACCACCTGGCCATGCTTACATAACGAAGGAAAAATAATAGTTTTATATTGAAGAAACTGGTCGTGAACTTCATCATATAATTTTGAAACAAATAAAATGTATTCAACAAGGAACTACGGGAATCCTGGACTGCAAGGTGAAAAATAAAAATATAAAGGTCTTATCTGGTATGTGCAAGATAATAACACCTGAAATCTTCACATTTTAACACCGTCCTGCTATGAAACATTGGATCGTATAGGAGAGAGAAGTGTCAGATAGTTTCGAATAGTAACGCCAAAGGGGCGTGTCAATTAGTATCTGGTACGTACGAGATAACCCCCATTACATTTTTTATTTTTCACCTTGCGGTTCAGAAATGCCGTAAATCAACAAAAATCTTTCCTGATAGGCGGCAGAATCTTGATTTATTGAGAAATTGAATCCCGCGTTAAATCGTAATAATAGTAATGATTCTACTTTTTATTTTCGCATAAATACATTTTACAATTTTTTTCTTCTTTACTTAACAGTGTTAATTTTACTTTTTCTCGCATTGTTTCACAGTTATTGACTGCCTGTATTAACGCCGCGAGATGTGATACAATATATAATTCTTTTTTGCTGATTTGTTTTAGCACAAAGCCACACATTGAGCTATCTGCGCTACTAGTAAGAGTGGATAGATACGCACGCTGATTGGCTGCCTTAGGAGAGGTGGAGAGGCAGGGGGTGATCTCATCAAATATGATTAGGTCATAGTTCCAAACGTTGCCACCAGATAGAGCGTCATTAGGGGCGCGTTGCTAGGTCGCCATGATAGGCGGCCATGAAGGATGATTACGTAATAGTACCATAATGTAGAGAATGTGTTTCTACATTATGCCATAATTTCAAAATGTACCGCCAGGGGCGTATTGCTAGGCCGCCATATTGAATGATTACGTAGTAGTAACACGATGTAGAGTTAAAAATATGTCTCAAGAGGAATTTATTAATTAATTTGTCCTAAAAAGGTCAATGTCTTAATTAAAACTTACTCAAGTGATTAAAGATCTCAGTGATAGTATTATAATAAAAATCCTGGACACAATAATTATTTTTTAATAATTTATTTTCTCACAATAAAGATCTAGCAATGTGATCTATATAAAAAAGACACATCTATTAAGGATGTATTTACATGAAAACGTTTTACAACAAATCATGGACAAACATATCATTACTATCTTTATACGATCCAAATTTAGATAGGAGTTTTCGTTTCGACACATGTCGACAACAATAATAAGCAATATTGTCCACACACATGAATGTGGTCCTTGCAGTACTTTTGGGTTGCAAGTCCACGTTCGACAATTCTTCTTGATGAATTTTCTAATGTTGAGATTGATGTGGAGGTAGTCCTATCGGATCAAAATATTCTCCATTTTCATTACAATCAAAATAAATACAGACCCAGTGACTACCAGATTTATGACTAGGATCCAAACTGACGATGTGTAATTGTTTTTCTGCATGGTCAGGCAGTTGATCACTGGCAAACACACCTCCAAACACATATCCTCTCGTGCACATATCCTGCGATTGTATTGAATAAATTTCTAACATATTCTTATCTTCTTAGATATCAGTTATGATGTTTCTAGACTGATCGATTTCTGAAACTGACTGACATTCTGCATATGTTAGAACATTTATAGTGTTAGGTAAAGCACTACAAAAACGTATTTCAATTCGTAAACTTCACTGTTTCACCAAGTTAAAGTGAGAATCTCCAGCAGATAGATCAGGTGTAAGATCAAAGGCAGAGTGTTTATTCTCCCGAGTATTCATCATATCCTATATCAATTCCTTGATCTTGAAATTGTTTTCCAGTTCCACTAACTAATGTTTCATGGCTTCGTTCATACAGTTCAGCTTCAAAATCTGGCTGGAGAGGTCGAGTGGGAATCTGTTTTCCATGTTTGCCATGAAATTTATATTGTAATGTTTGAAATTGTATGGATTTTTCTTCCAATATCCATTAAATGCATTGTTATCAACAAAGCCTATAACAAGACGTGTAGCTATTTGACCTAAAAAAACATTATCAATAGATGCCTGTAGAAAACGATTTACACATTATATATTTCAAAGGATATTTAGCTGTTCCTTTCTGAAATGCTTTAGCATGTGACAGAACGACTGACGGGTTGATCTTGACGTTTCTAGCGTAGATAGAAACATGTTGTAGTACAATTTTGAATCCAGATTCATCATTTGACACAATACAAAATGAACCTTTACTTCCTATAAGTCAGAGTTTTAAACTTACAACATTAGGCAAGAACGTGTTCTGTGAAAATATATATGAATGTAAACGGCCGATCATATCGACTGTTTGACTACCACGTGTATCTATGTATCGATCTTTGACTCCGTCGTTCTCGCCATCATTAAAATCGAGATCATCAAAATTGTTTGTTGTGTTTGTTATCCACATGGATAATGTCAAATGACTTCTCTTAGTTTCACCATTATAACTCAGTAAAGTTTCTATGTAGGCCTTATATGCGTAAAGGTTGTGAGACAAAGAAATTAGTTTATCATTGAAGAGTCATGATTACTTGTCGAAAAGTCTGGAGTCAATGTTCTTCGCCCCCAGTGGCACAGCGGTATGTCTGTGGACTTACAACGCTAGAAACCAGGTTTGGATACCCGTGGTGGGCAGGGCACAGATAGCCCTTTGTGTAGCTTTGTGCTTAACTTTAATCAAACAAACAATGTTCTTCGTCTCTTAGCTTTAGATATTCTGAACACTGGACCTTTCTGTTTCTTCTTTTTATTATGTAGAACTTCTCTAGCCAGATTCTGAGCTCCTTGTATAGCTTATCGTTTTCCAGCATTGACAAGATGTTTTCCTTATATGACATCTGATGCTAAATTTATACCTGATTTAACTGCCTGTTTTCCTAAACTTAATGCCCCTTTTTTTTCAGAAATGATATGACTGGACGAAATAGGTTGCATAATAACATTTCCCAAACAGTGACCTAGCTGCCATTGACTACCTGCAAAATATTGTAACCCATTTCCCACCTGGTAATCGTAGTATGTGTCATAAACCGACTCTCCCGTGTTCAAATGGTATACACCGACCCATGTCATCCTTTATATCTATCTCAACAGTCTGAACTCTTTTTAAATACAGGTCTGTAATAAAGTTTCGTAAACATTTCAGTAATCATGTCCCTATCCTTACTTTTAACTTGAACGATTCGTGGCACATTTGCGTCACCGACAATATTAGGTTCCACAATATCTGAGTAAACATAGAGCAAATAAAATCCTCCATGCATATTAACAGTATATGGAGCTATAGTGGGTTCTGATATTAAATGGTTATTCTCAAATCAGAGTATTACAGATAGCACAGGATCAAATAATATAGAGTGTCCTTCTTTCATATTGACATTTACTTCGTTATGAATCGTAATGAAATACAGGATATTTGTTGGATTCATAGGCTAACTCGTCTAATTTGTTTAGTATTATAATTAAATCTTCAGGTTCTTTGTAATGACAAGGTCTAATATAAATGATTTTATTCTGATCATCAGAGGTAGGTAATAAACTGATCCATTCTGTACCATCAGATACATTATGCCAACTATGTGGATACTGCAATTCGACCAACACTACTTTCCACGATCCTTCAAGGTTGATAGATCTCGGATAAGATGAATGATATAGTTTGTCAGAGTATTATTAGCAAAATAATTCATAGAACTGTTACTAGGTAACGTCGCATACAACTGATCCATGTTGAATAACGAGAAATAGAGTTATGCATAACATTTTATGACGACAAGCGATTCAGATCTGTTTGAGGGACCCAACTATTAGATTTATCAGAATATTCTTTCCATTTTACAAAATATTGTTTGTTTTTATCATTTCTACGTTCACGTAATATTTCTTCAACAGGATAGACGACATCGAGCGACTTTATAACTCTTTGTAGTCCAGATTCGTAAAATGTTCCATTTAATTTTTCTCCGAGATAGTCTTGCAGTTTATAAACTGGTGGATTTTTCTCTATTCTCTGATAAATCGTAAATATTTCGTCTGTCTATCCAGGCATATAACATATCTTAAACTGACGCTACACTTTACTAATACGTACTTGATCACCTAATTTGAACTGAAATTGTACTTTAGTTGGTGGTTTGTAAAGTGTCTTCCATACAACAGACTGATTACAGTGATTAACATCTACTGCTCTCATTATGATGCTGCCATAACACGAATGATTACAGGCACTGACCAGATGTTTCAGTACAGTAATATATTTATATGTTCCACGATTTATAAAGTAGCGCCACATTCTAGTTTTAAGAGTGCAATTAAATCTTTCTACTATAGATTATTTTGTTTCATTAGGTGTAGTAAAGAAGTGAATGTCTTGTTCCTTGAGATAATGTTGAAGTAGTCTATTAGTAAACTCTGTCCCAGCATCGGTTTGAAGTTTACAAGATTTTCTACCCTGTTTTAAAATTTGTTTGAAAGATTTTACAAGCTTTGCCCATTTCTTATCCTTGAGTGGAACAACCCATGCATATTTAGAAAACACGTCGAAACACGTGAGTAAATACTTAAACTGACTGTTATATTGACTTAAGTTAGAGAGATCCACCAAATCAGCCTACCATTGTTCATCGATCCCTAAAACAATAACTCGGTTTCTCGAGAATTTATATTTTACTGGTTTGTGTAAAGTGTATGTATCCTGTCAACTTAACCAGTATTTAACCTGATTTAGACTTACGGGCTTACCTAGCGCTTTTACAGATCCAAATAAAGGCTGCACTCCACCAAAACTAGCAGGATGTGCAGGGTTATAATATATATAGATTGTAAAGTTTTATTAGACATTATTTTCTACGCCATCTACTTTTATTTAATTTTTACCATCAAATTTGTCTCGAACAGTAGTAATAATTTGACCATTACAACAGACAATGTTAATTCTTAGACGACTCAAGATATTACTGAGCTTAAAAGGCTGACAACAGTCAGGACACAAATGAATGAATAATACAATAATACTATATTAAAAATGATCCCATATAGATACAGTACGTTTAGGTGTTGTAACACTTGTATCATGTTTCATATACTTCCATCTGTTTACATTTCCAACAACTTCTTGGGAATATTCATATGTGATAATCGTTCAGCAAATTCTTCCCAGCCTGTAGGGTTAAAATTTTTCGTTTTCGTAGCACGTCGTTGATTAAGTCGATTATCTTACTGTTTTAGATGGATCTTCCACTAATAACTAATTCTCCACGATCATTCTACATTAGATCACCACTGGAACGTATCAAGTTTTGTAGAATTTCAGCTTTCTTTTTTATATTTCTGAGGAACGCTGTCAGCGATCTCTAATTTTTCATGAGTCGGCGATTCCATTATAATTTTAATGAGCTCCGTGGTTTATGAATGAAAGGTCTGATGACGTTTTTTGCAGTTGGTTTATCATCTTTGCTTTATCATCTAAGGGTAATGTATAATTTTGAATGACTGACTTAATATAATTATCTATAGACTTTAATATTTTATGCACAGGCCTTTCATAAACTTTGGATTGATAAAGAGAATGTACCAGTTCTTCTGGAACCAGAACCATTCGTTTTGCTATATTTTTATATTCCAGCAGCTTTACCGATAGCCCGTCCTGCCAAACCACCAAATAATGAAAGTATTGGTGCTATGAGTAATGGTAAAAATCCTCCTTTCTGTATCAATAAGTTTCTTTTCTGTTTAACTAGTGTTTTCTTGACAGCCAACTCTCTCAATAATGATTTGTATCGTCTAAGTTTCTGTTTTTGTATGTTCGTCATGAAAACGTTACCTTTTAAAACACTTAAAGCACATTCACAACTACTCAAGACAAAGTCATTTTTAGCTCCGGCAATTATTCCATTAATCTGTTTATGTGTTGCTTTAGGTAATGCACAGAACATCTCTTGATGTTGTTTAATGAAAGTGTCATGATGAATAAATGAAAAGAGACTGTGAAGGAAATGTTCTTTTTAGTACGAATTAATTATAAATGATATAAGGAATTAATCAGTGTTAAGCGTTCTTTTTAGGACGAATTAATTATAAATGGTTTATTGAATTAATTAGTGATTAATTGCAGACATGATGAGACATGCATTGTATGAGTCATAGCTACCTAGAAACACGTTCTCTACTGTGTGGTACTATTATACAATCATCCATCATGGCCGCCTGTCATGGCTGCCTAGCAAAACGCCCCTAATGACTCGTCCTTAGGTGACAATAATTGGAGCTATGAACTCGTCATCTTTGATGACATCACCATCACCCCTCCCCTGAGGCAGCCAATCAGCGCGCGTGTCTATCATTTCGCCCTTACTACTTGCGCTCTACACACCGATATTCTTATGTAGAATTATATACGGACTTTTCTCTACGTTAAAATATTTTTATTTGCGAGCTATAGGATCTCTTACAATGTTCATTGTTCCCCGATAGAGGCTCCTATAAGCTCGCAAATAGAAGCATTTTAACGTAGAGAAAAGAAGGTGTATAATTCTACATATTAATTTACCTACGTTATGAGTCTTAAACAACAACACCGATGTCCTTATTAACTATTGTTGTTTAATCTAAATTCTTTGAGTTTTTTTTTTTCAGTTTGGACTGTTTTAATGTGATATTTAATCATTTTCCTTGATAAAGCTAATACAATGGAGCTTTGGAAGTTAATAAAAATATTTTCTGGGGATTACTTGATTTTAGTTTGTTTTTGAATTTCGCACAAAGCTACACGAGGGCTATCTGGGCTAGCCGTCCCTAATTTAGCAGTGTAAGACTAGAGGGAGGACAGCTAGTCATCACCACCACCCACCGCCAACTCTTGGGCTACTCTTTTACCAACAAATAGTGGGATTGAACGTCACATTATAACGCCCCCTCGGCTGAAAGAGCGAGCATGTTTGGTGTGAGAGGGATTCGAACCCGCGACCCTCAGATTGCGAGTCGAGTGCCTTAACCACCTGGTCCCTGATGAAGAAAGGTCCACCTTTCGAAAGCGCTCGGGTTATAGGATTATTAGTTTGTCATTTATAGCTTTACATTTTATGTTGCCGTATTTTAGATTTCTTGTTTCTCACTTATTTTCCTTTGTTTGGTGGCAGCACTGTTTCCTACCCAAGGTTAAGACGTGTCTTCTGCACCTGTCGTGATTGGTATTCAGTCGTGTTGTGCGCGTCCTGGGAGGATCGGGTGACATCTTCTTCCCTCCTGTACAGTTTTCGATGTTTACAGTCAAATGCAAAATTAATAAAATTATTAAAATTGTTAATTTAGAAAGTGGGAATAGGTGTCTTTAGAAAATTACAGAAACAAGATAGGTAGCATAAACAAACAAGCTTAAGGTTTGAGGCATAGTGTTGTCATTATTTCCTCAAGATACAAATCCCTATTTTGACTCCATGTCTAAAAGTTGAAATATTTAGGAACAACGCTAGTTATTTTACATAATATTGTATATTTAACTGCTATCAGAATGTCGCAGATAGTTGTTGACAAACTCTGAAAACAGCATGTTTTAATTATTTCCCCCTATTTAGCAAGTAGCAGATATAAAACTTCCCAAAGTTTTTCTTTCCTTTATGTCTGATTTTAATAGAGCGTTTCTGGTTTTAGTAATATTTGGTGTGATTTTTACACCGTATCTCAGAACCTTTCTGGAATTAACTTTTTATCTAATGTTTTAAAATTAACTTTATGATTTTAACAACCCATCTCATATTTTAAAATAACATCTCTCATTTTAGCATTCCCATATCTTAAAATAACATTTCTAATTTTAACATTCCCATATTTTAAAATAAAATCTCTAATTTTAACATTCCCGTATCTTAAAATAACATTTCTAATTTTAGCATTCCCATATCTTAAAATAACATTTCTAATTTTAACATTCCCATATTTTAAAATAACATTTCTAATTTTAGCATTCCCATATTTTAAAATAACATTTCTAATTTTAGCATTCCCATATCTTAAAATAACATTTCTAATTTTAACATTCCCATATCTTAAAATAACGTTTCTAATTTTAACATTCCCGTATATTTTGAAATAACGTTTCTAATTTTAACATTCCCATATTTTAACATTACTCTTCTGGTTTTAACATTGCATCTCAGATTTTAAAATTATACTTCTGATTTTAGCATTATATCTCAGATCTTTACAATACTTCCATAATTTTTATTACGATACCTCTGAATTTTTACATTGTCTTCTATTTAACTTTCTCAAGGAAGTTCGATAAAATTCTGATTTAATTATTAGAAGCGTTTCATCAGTTAATTATTCAAGAGAAATGGTTGAAAATAGGATATCCTGAGACTGCTGAAAATCATAATTATCTTTTACAAAGATCGTTAATAACTGTGTATTTTGTATTTAAAAAACAGGAACTGACGTTGATTGCAAAAATGTTCGTCAAAAATTTCCTCTGTCGTCTTTTGAGAACCTTCATTGAAGATAGTTTAAACTAAACTTGCATAGTCGTGAGGGAGCTTCAGAAATTGGGAATAATTGATAAGATAGGTTGGGTTACTAGGAGATTTAAGGCATGAGTTAAACAGTAGTTCTAAAGATAAATCTGTCAAACTTAAAGATAAACGGTAAGAATGAAGAGTAAGTTTAGTTACTATTATTCTAATGTTAGGAGTATTAGAAACGAAATGGATGAGTTCAGGGCTAAAGTTGAAATGGAAGACAGATATAATGGGAATTACTAAAACTTGTATAAATTTGGAGAATATTGATAAGAGGAAATATTTTAAAATTTCACATTATATAATAGTGGTGTAGAAAAGAAAGTGAGGTGGCTGTTTATACAAAGGTTGAATACTGACGTCATAACTACTGCAGTTTTGCTATTAATAAAAATACAGATGTAATAATTTATAAGATACTTTAATTTTAGACGCACTGATTGGAATTGTATGGCGTTGAATAGCGAGGGAGATAGATTTCTTCAGCCGATTTCTGGTGGTGTTTTACATCAAACGATCAGAGAGCCACACAGGATGATGCTATTTTGGACTCAATGTTAACCAAAGGAAGATGTAATTGCAAAAGGAAAAGTAGGGAAATATTTGGGGAAGAGCGATCGTTTCATAAATAAGTTTGATGTGTTGCTACATGTTTAGACAAAAACATAAAATTTTAGTGACTATTTTTCAGATAGTCACTTTTGAGACCATGAAACAAGATTTGTCATTGGTGAATTGGAGCAAAGAGTTAAAATGTGATGTGAGAAAATACGAATTTTCTTTAATAAATTTCTTTTAATTTATGGTAGTGCATAAAAAGAGGAAAAGGAAACAAGGAAAGACCAAACCTAAACTTAAAACTTAAAAACATAAAGAATAAATGTCGTAAGTTTCAAAATGTATAACTAATAGATAGGTTGGAAGATTTACAAAACTATAGGAAGTCTAGGAATTAGGCAAGAAAAATGAAATGAAAAAATCCAAAAGCTGGCTCATACTTTTATAACCAATAGCAAGAATTGTTTTAAGTGTGTTAAAATGAGCAAAGTGTTAGAAT